TGAACAAGATGACAAAAAGTCCTCACGTGTTTGGAAAAAATTGTTAAGTTGCTAAATAACTCATGGGTAAAATAATAAATTAGAATGGAAGTTTTAAAATACATAAAATTGGGGCAACTGGGTGGCTCAGTCAGTTAAGTGTCTGCCTTCGGCTCAGGTCATGATCCCAGGTCCTGGGATCAAGCCTCACATCTGGCTCCCTGCTCAGCAGGGAGCCTGCTTCTACCTGTCCCTCTGCCCCGCTTCTTGTTCTCTCTCTTAAATAAATAAAATCTTAATATAAAATAAAATAAAATACCTAAAATTGAGAATGGACGTAACAAAGGCAGTGCTTTAAAGGAAATGGATTGCCTTAAATAGGCACATAAACAAGCTCATTCATTTTGAGACTATTTCTTTTCTGAGTTTCTAATCTAAGAAATTAGAGAAAGGTCAACATATAAACCAGAAGAAAGAAAAAAACTGACTTTAAAAATAAGAGCAGAGGGCGCCTGGGTGGCTCAGATGGTTGGGCGTCTGCCTTCGGCTCAGGTCATGATCCCAGGGTCCTGGGATCGAGTCCCGCATCGGGCTCTCTGCTCCTTGGGAGCCTGCTTCTCCCTCTGCCTCTTTCTCTCTGTCTCTCATGAATAAATAAATAAAAAATCTTTAAAAAAAAAAAAAATAAGAGCAGAGATTAGTAAAATAGAAAAAATAAAATAGAGAAGTTTAAAAAGCCAAAAGTTGATTCTTCAAGAAAAAAAAAACTGACAGAAAACTATTGGCAAGACTTACCAAGAGAGAATATAGAAATAAATATTATTAATGAAGAGTTTAATATGACATACAAAGTACTAAGAGAGAATTAAAATTCAGATGAGGACAAATTCTTAGAAAAATATAACAAGAACTGAGTCTAAAAGAAATGAAAAGCATGACTAGTCCTATAATCAAAGAAACTGAAGAGGTAGTTTAAAAATTCTCACAGGAAAACACAAAGCCCAGTTAATTTTGTAGGTGAATTCTACCAAATTTTCAAGAAATATATTATCCCAATAGTATATAAAATCTTCCAGACCAAAGGAAAAGAAGAAATGCTCTCTTTTCCTATACGTGAGGCCAGGATAACCCTGATACCAAACCAACCTAAAAGAGTCATAGGAAAATTAAAGTTCTACCCTATTTCACTCATGAATATATAAGCAAAATTCCAAAATAAGACATCAGAAAATCCAACAGTGTATAAAAAAGAAAGCATTCATCAATCCTGTTGCATTTATCATGGGCATGCAAAGATGATTTTATGTTAGAAAATCCAGGGGCGCCTGGGTGGCTCAGTCATTAAGCGTCTGCCTTCAGTTCAGGTCATGATCCCAGGGTCCTGGGATCAAGCCCTGCATCGGGCTCCCTGCTCAGCGGGAAGCCTGCTTCTCCCTCTCCCACTCACCCTGCTTGTGTTCCCTCTCTCGCTGTCTCTCTCTCTCTGTCAAATAAATAAATAAAATCTTTAAAAAAAAAAGAAAATCCACAAATGAATTCATCACATTAATAAATCTCAGTAGATTCAGAAAAAGCATTTTAGGTGTCTTAGTATAAGGTTATATGCAAAAGTCAGTTGCATTTCTACACACTAAAAGAAAACAACTAGGAAATACAATTTAAGAGAAGACAATTATCATACCAGAGGAGGATCTTGTAATAAATCTTATATTCAATAAGATAATCTTGTAATAATAGAATAACATAATATATAATATGTAATATATAATATAATAACATAATCTTGTAATAATCTTATATTCAAGACCTCTATAGAGAAAATTATAAAACTTTACTGAGATATTAAAGAAGAGCTAAATCAATGGAGAAAGACACAATGTTCATAAATAGAAAGATTTAGTATTACAAAGATGTTATGATCTAAAGAGGAGATCAAACAAAATCCCAGTAGTGATTTTCATTGCTTGATATAATGATTTTTAAATTTTTATTGAAGAATAAAGGGCCAGAATATTTCTGAAGAACAGAGAAATAAGGACTAGCCCTACTAGATATTAGGACTTATTTTGAAGCTGCAATAGAACAGTGAGCCTGGAAACAGACCCATGGATGTATATATCACCTAACAAAGGTGACATGAGATCATGTGGAAAGATGGCACTGTTCACTAAAAGATTTGGGAAAATGGTTATCCATATGGAAAAAGATTACCTGAATCTCTCCCTTACATTAGAACAGAAATTGACTCCAGGTAAAGGTCTTAGAAAAGGTATTCAGCTTGATTTGCTGTTAAACAATAAGTTAACTCTAAGGAGAAAATACTGATGAGCATCTTTTAGACCTTAAGGAAATAGATCTTAAGACACAGAACAGCACTGATGCATGTAACTATATTAAAATATTTTTTTCATTAAAAGAAGTTTTGCTCGTTAAGAGACAACTTAAAGAAAGTGAAAAGACAATATATAAATTTGCAGAAGATAATCACAATACTTAATTCCTGACAACAGATCAGTATTGTGAATACATGAAAAGTATTTGGCCAGAATTAAAAATAATAACTAAAAAAAAATCAAGAACACCTCCTCCACAAATAAAGCAAAAACAATTCGGCAGAAAAAGTGCAAGAGTCACGAGCAAGAATTTCACACGAGAACAAATACATATGACCAGTCATCATATGAATATGATCAACATCATTGGTAATCAGGCAAATGAAAATCAAAACTGCAATGAGACCATTTTGCTTTCATTTAATTAAAAAAAAAAATGAAAAAGTCTACAGTATCAACTGTTAAAGAAGATGTAGATCTACAATATTTTTTACCCATCACTGGTGGGAATGCAAATTGGTGCCTGGTCACCATGTTGAAAAGCAGGTTGGCCTTACCTCCTAAAGAAGAATATCAGACTCTATAGCCCAGCGGTTCCACTTCTAGTTACATACTCGAGAAATTCCTGCAAATGTACAATGGGAACCATGCATAAGATTACTCCAAAGCAAAAACTTATAAACAACCCAGATTTATTGAATGAATAACTGTGTTATTATTCACAGGAGGGAATATTACACAGTAGTTGAAACTAATGAACCACAGAAACATGCAACAATATAAATTTTAGCAGTATAATATTAAGAAAAAAAAGCAAGTCCCAGAAGATTACATACATCCGTGTTGGCCTCGTCCCAGTGCCCCTTCTTCTTACACAGTTAAAAACAAATATGTAAATATATGTATATGAAAACACATAAATACATGCACATTTAAGACTATGTAAAGATGCAATAAAATTAGATTAAAAGGTAAGCAAGGGACTGAGGAACCCAGGAGTCGTGACAGCTACCTGAGAAGGGGATGGATTGGTGAGTTTTCCATATGGTTAGATGTACGTTTTGTCAGGATTCTACCTTTTGTTTAGAGGTTCTTCTGGTGGTCAAGCAGGCCATGCAAGGACCAATAAAAAGAGGGTGTCGTGTAGCAAGGATCATGACTAATCCAAAGCTGTGCACCTGAGGTCCAAAAAAGGAGAACACAAAGAAAAAAACAAGATAGATTTAAATCCAACATATCAGTAATTACATTAATTACTCCCATTACAGGTATAAGATTTCAGATAAGTTTTAAAAATCCAACTATATGTGTTTTACAAGAGCTACATCTAAGTAAGAAAAAAAGATTGGAATAACAGGATGGAAAAAGATATGTCCAGAGAAATAACAAACAAAAGCTGCTGTAGCTATATTAATGTTGCAAAACAGACTTTAAAACAAAAGGTAAGACGGGAGGTAAGGGGGACATAATGATAAAGGTTCAATTCACTAAGATGGGTTTTAAATTTGAACCTATCATGTACCTAAAAAACACAGCCTCAAAATATTTACCACAAAAGCTGGTAGAAATACAAGGAGAAATGGATTAATTTACAACCAATATAGGAAATTTTAACAAAGCTCTTAGTAATGGCTAGAAACAGGAAAAAAAAAGTTTGAACCATAGAATCTACCAGACAATTATAGAACACTGTACTGAACAACTGCAGTAAACACTTTCTCTTCAGGTATACATGGAACATCTGCAAAAACTGACCATATACTGGGTCTTTCAGCAAATTTCAAAGAACTGAGATTATACCAGTATACTGTCTGTTTCCAAAGCAATTATGCTAGAAATAAAGATAACTAGAAAGAATCCCCAAATGTTTATAAATTCAAGAAATATACTTCCAACTAATCCACAGATCAAAGAAGATAGAGTGGACATCAGAAAATATAACTGCATAAAGGGGCGCCTGGATGGCTCAGTCCCTTAAGCATCTGACTCTTGATTTCAGTTTGCCTCATGATCTCACTTGAGATCAAGCCCCCCATCCGCCTCCGTGCTCAGTGTGGAGTCTGCCTGTCCATCCGCCACTCCTTGCTGGCACTCTCTCTCTTAAATAAATAAAGTGCATGATAATTAAAGTAATACATATAAAAGCTGTGAGATTCAGCTAATGCAGTACTTGGAGGGCAATACCTAACCTAAAACGCACATATTAGAAAAGAAAAGCTGCAAAATCATGAGCTCAGCAACCATCTCATGAAGTTGGAAAAAGAACAGCAAAATAAACCGCAACAAAGTGGGAGAATATAAAAGTAAACTCAGTAAGGTAGAAAAACCTAAAAGAGGATCAACAAAGTTTCATCTTCAACCAATGAAGAGAGTGCACGAACCTCCACCATGACTGTTCAGAATGGGGGGGGAAGGCACATTTAACTCACATCACAGATGTGAAAAGAGGACATCGCCATGTCCTCGTCGTTAAAGCAGTAGTAATGAGATTGAAAAACGGGTGGAAATCGGCAAATTCCCAGAAAAGTAGAATGTAGCAAAACAAATGCAAGTCGGTGGAGCGAGTGTGCAAGGTGCAGGCAGTAAAAGAGGAAGGAGCCAGCCGCTGGCTGGGCGAGTTCCAGGGGTGGACACGTGGCCCAGGGGCCCTGCGGGACCGCTCACACCGCCCTGCCGCCACAGGGAGAACGCCGAGAACATGTACTACTTCTCCGAGCTGGCCTTGACCCTCAACGAGCACGAGGAGGGCGTGGCGCCCACGGACAGCCGCCTGCGGCCGGACCAGCGGCTGATGGAGAAGGGGCACTGGGACGAGGCCAACACGGAGAAGCAGCGGCTGGAGGAGAAGCAGCGGGTGTCGCGGCGCCGGCGGCTGGAGGCCTGCTCGCGGGTCTGTGGCACGGAGGAAGGTGAGGCTGGGCGGGGAGAGAGGGGACCCTGGGGGTGGGGAGCGGTTCCCGGAAGGAAGGGATGCCCCAGGGGTGGGGAGAGGGGGAGGAAGGGGCACCCCAGGGACAGGGAGGGTGCGGGGGCAGGCAGGGTGGAAGGAAGCTGTGTCCTGGGGGCAGGGAATGGGGGAACCAGGGAAGGGGGCGGACTGGGAAGAGGCCACTGTCCACCCGCCCGCCCACTGTGCCTGCCCAGCAGAGAAGGAGGCTGATGTGTACGTGCCGCTGTGGTTCGAAAAGAGGCTGGACCCACTGACGGGGGAGACGGCCTGCATGTACAAGGGCGGCTACTGGGAGGCCAAGGAGAGGCAGGACTGGCACATGTGCCCCAACATCTTCTGAGCGCCACCCCTACTGCAAATACAGGCGCCTGCACAGCCTGGTCCACCTCTTCTTTAATGCACTCAATTTAGTACTCAACGGCCCTCCTACCCACGCCTCCCCCTCCCCACACCTCCCCCCCCTTTTTTAAAAACATTTTTGGGGCTCCCACCTTGGAAGGAGTAAGTGCTGACCTGCATTCTCTTCAGCTCGCAGGTGCCCTCGGTCACCCGAGCCCCTTCATTATGGACTTGGGTCCCACTGGGACCCCAGCTCCCAGTTAACACAACTCAGGCAGGCTGGCCCAGGCCCTGGGCTGCCCCAGTCACCAGCCCCACCCAGGGAGGCACTGGCCCCTCCTGAGGAGCCACATTTGACTTTTTTAGAAAAAACGATCTCCATTTCTTTCCAGCCAAGACTTTAGTAAATATTTTTAGCACAGCACTTAGCAGACAACTTTCTAAGTGTGCTTTCTTGCCACAAACATGTCCTGGCAAGAGCCCCTTCTTTTTAAGACATCAGGAAGCCAGACCCCTTTGAGCAGGGAGCATTTTGTCACTCAACATAGCAGGGCCACATCTGTATCGGAGCTGCCCAGTCAGCGGGAGCACAGGACTCCACAGAGAAGGGAACTGGAGGGGCCACCTGGCCCAGGAGAGCACAAGTCAGTTGTCTCTGAAGCTACAGCCGCACCCACTGTGGGGGAGGGGGCGCCGAGCAGCCCCCATGTAGATTTGAGGGCATCAGCCCCTTGCCTTGCCTTGGCCATGTTGAGGCTGCTCCCCAGCCCTAGAGAGGCCAGGAAGGGCTGGGGGGCAGGGCCTGCAGGTGCTCCCCACCCCAGAACCAGGCCCCAGATCAGCAATAAGAACAAACATTTGGCTCAGCCTGGGCTGGTGCCCACAGGCACCAGAGACCCAGTGTCCCGCCTCGGCCTCAGGCACCTTCAGGGTGCCCATCTCCACACCCCCTGAACTCTTTTATTTGCCTGATTTATATATATATGATATATAAATATATAAAGATAGCTATTTTGCTTAAATTTCTATGGTATGTGGAAATTAAAAAATGATGAAGACAGGGCACTCCTGTCTGAGTTTAGCCCTCCTGTCAGCTGTGCCCTGCCCTCTCCTCGGACCCCCTTCCAAAGGCTTCTGCCAATGGTGGGGGTACTGGGCCACCGTGGCCACTGTCCCCGCCCCTCAGAACCCCCACTCCAACCCCTCCCACTTAAGTTTGGTCCTGAAAATTCATCACAGGGTTTTTTTCTGTATACTCCAGGACTGATTTTGTTTTTATAAAAAAACAAAAGTGAAAACACCAACGTATGAAATGCCTTAGGGTGCCCACTCAAGAGGCAGGGTGGGCTGGGTGGGGTGGGTGGCCCCACCAGGCCTACAGCAGAGCTGTGCAGTGTACCTCTTCTCAACACTGTTTGTGAGGGAGCACCTTCTGACCGGTAATAAAAACCTTGGATTTGGAGTTTTCCAAGGCCCTGTCCCTGAGTGTGTCTGTGACTGGATGGATCAGGGCTGATGCAGGACAGGTGACAGCCTATAGGGCAGCATGGGGCGGAGCCTGGGACGTTCTTCTGCTCTGCCCTGAGGAAAGCAATGAAAAGCTGGTCTAAATGCGGAGGGGAGAGAACAGGGGTGGGGGGGGGTGTGGAAGACTCGTTGTGACAGGGTCTGGGCCAGGAAGGCTGCAGAGGGCAGAGACAGAAGCTAGCGGAAGGCTCACAGCTTTGCCTGGGGCTGTCTGGGGCCAAGCCAAGGCACCCACGCGGCTCTTCTCTTCGAGGGAAGCCCACCTTGGTGAGTTCCAGGGTTACTCGATAACCACGATAACGATAACTTGGACTGCTTCTGTTGTCCCAGGTTGCTAAGCAACTCAGATCACTAGCTCCCAGGACGGGCCTAGAGCGGCTTGGTCTGGCCCATTGTGGGGGGCCTCCCACTGCCAGTGCTTCCACGTGAGAAGATGGGGTGGGGCAGGGCACCACAGGAGTAGCAGAGCCAGGCTCCAATCACCTGCCCTGAAGCCCCAGCGCTGTGGGATCCAAGGCTGGCCCTGCACAACACCTGCCTTACCAGGGCCTTGCTTTCCCACCTGTGGGGAGGCAGGCACTGGTTAGTCCTGCAGCTCTCACTGGCTAGAAGGTGCAGGGCAGGTGAGGCAACCCCAGCATAAACCTGAACCCAGGGGGGTGGGGGCAGTGGAAGGGGGCCTGCCAAGGGAGAAGATGGGCTACATGGGCAAAGCCCAGAGGTGACAAAAGCCAGTCCACTGAGACAAAGTGAGGGAAGAGCCTGGAGTGGAGCCAGGCAGAGCTCTGAACAGGGAGTGACATCAGGGTGACGTTCTAGAACCCACTCTAACCAGATCACAGAAGATCAGCCTACTCTCAGCAGTCTATCCACCAGCCATCACTGAGTAGAAAAGGTCATAGAAAAAAAGATTCTGCAACATAGGCCATATGGGGCCTCAAAGTACATCTGACAAAAAGATGCAAAAGACCTTTACAGATACAACTTTAAAATTTTACTGAATGATAGAGAAGACCTGAGTTAAAAGGAAAACACCATCTTCACAGATGGCCAACTCAGTTATGTGGGCTCTTCCCCAATCTACAAATCCAACATGATCCAAATCAAAATCCTGTGAATATTTTTTAAACACTTGACAAATAGATTGTGAAATCTACATGGGAGAATTGAGCAATTCTTAAGAAGAGGGGGAACATGGACTTGACCTACATATACCCAAACATGTTAGAAAGCTACCAACAAATTGCTTCCTTTTTCTCCACTGCACTCTGGCATGATGTGTCATACCATATATTTTATTCATTTGTTGACTATCTCCCCCACCCCACAATGGACTGTGAGCTTCATGAGAATAGGAATCATGTCTGTCTTACACACTATAGCATCCCCAGTGCTTGGCACATAGGAGATGCTCAGTAAATAGGTGTTGAATTAATTCCAGGCCAGAAGGCCCAGACAGAGCAAAGGCTCAGGGGGATACTCCCCAGAGCCACTGAGAGTGTGGCTGCAGCAGCAAATTGTGAGGGGGCAACTGGGAAGAGCTGAACCTAGGGACCTAGGAAACCCCTGCTCCCACAAACTCTACAATCCAAGTCTTTGCTCCTGACAGACGGTGGGGGAGGAAGCCTGAAGTTCCCTTATCCCCAGGGCTGGGGCTCAAAATAAAGTGGGTAAAGGACACCAGATAGAAAAATGTCAAAGTGTAGCACAGAGACACCATCAATGCAGTTTCTTATTCTTATATGAAGCTGGCCAACATAACTTCAACAACAAAACCTGGTAAAGACAGCACGGAAAATATAAGAACTGTGTATTTCAATCTCACTTTAAGAACAGAACCTGGGTGGCTGAGTTGGTTAAGCTTTTGACTTCAGCCCAGGTCATGATCTCGGTGTTCTAGGATCAAGCCCCACACTGGACTCCCCAGTTGGGAGTCTGCTTGTCCCTCTCCCTTTGCCCCTCCCCTGCTCATGCGCTCTCTCTCTCTCTCTCTCTCTCAAATAAATAAATAAATA